CCTTGCCATCGCTACTCTTACGCATCGGATCTGAAGTGCTATTTGTCTCCTCCAAATGTAAGACAACAAAAACAACAACGCTATATATGTTTGTGCTGCCAAAAGGACAAATAATGAACTCAAATATACGCTTAAAGTTTTTAAATACTTTACTAAATTTGCTAAATAGAATTAGAGGTACTAAAAAATTCTTTCGCACTGTGCGAATTGCCGCTGAGAGTTGGCTAAAATACGGTGATGCGGGACTGCCTCCTTCACAACCTTGACTATGCAGCTTCGTCGATCCACGAGAATTTTGGTTCGGCTGAACTCCGCCGCTGAATTACCAACGAAGTCGTGTGCAGTTCTCATGCGAACTTTTCCTTTCCTCTGCACTTTATAACGCTTTCCCAATTTTCTCTTGATCCACCGTCTAATAGTCTCAACATTTCCACTTCCAACTTCAAATGTGCCAAGCATTTTCGGCTTCCAACCTTGTGCAATTCCAATTACACCTTATTTATCTCTTATGACAAACAGCAACACAAATGGGTTTCTTTCACTAAAAATGGACCTGTGCACTCATCTTTGGCACCTCAAATTAAAGCATTTATTTCGCAACTGGACAGTCAGCCACGCCACATTGCCACACGCAAAAGTCAATTTCATTTAAAGGCTTTCCCTAACTTCCTTAGTTAAGCCGAAACATTTTGTTGCTGAAACTGCCAGTAGTGGAGGTGTTACCCCCACCAGCGTGCGTATCAAGCCAATTCCAATTGTGGCCTTACGCCTCCAATCTCCATTGCCTTTTAGGTGGTGCCTCCTGTGTGCTTCACTTTGTCGCCCGAACCAAACGCATTGCCATTTTAATGCGAAGACTGCTGACGCGAGCACTCCAAATGCGTGGCTCGGTTCGGCCAATCAGGAAGCAAATCGTCTGGCGCCCACGTTTAACTTTCATCAGCCTTTGAGTGGTTTCACTCATTTGGGTGTGATGGAGGCGCCCTCAAAAGCAATGTGTACCAATTGTGTTGCGGGAGTTCATTCTATCACCGCGAGCCTACAAGCCAAATATTTTATCATCGCCTGTTTAACTATGGCGCTTGTTCTTATGCTCTCCGCTCTGCCAATCACATAAGGCGTGGCGGCAAGTAGTCAAAGTGAATGGCATTTAATTAAGGATGTACGTAGAAACGATTTTGCTACCAGTTGATTAGGCTGTAGTAAAATGGCGACCCTCATCTGCTGATCATTGTCTACACCCCAATAACGGCAGCTTTTAAATGCAATAGTTTCCATTTTTTTGTCCCTTCTTGCTTAGTGACTTTATGTGTGCGTCTTTCTTGATTATATCTTTGAGGGACAGAGGATGGAAGGGGGTGGAAGGTGTAAGCGAATGAAATCACTGCCCTGCGAGAAGATACGTTTGGTAACCTCGAAGAGTAGCGCCACTATGCAGCATGGTGAGGATTCCCACTTGGCTGTTTATGCTGGAGACTGCAATAGCCGTAGAGAGGGTAAAATGCGCTATGGCAATACGCTCCTACCGCATCACTTAGGCTTGTTAGACACGAAGATATTACCAAGCCTAAGTCGCTATGTTGGCACTTCCCCACTACGGCTTTTTTGCCACCAATTCGTCAACACGGAGACGACACCACTGCCCACGTCAGCGCTTACTGGCAGGGGTGTGCGAGCCTGAGCCAGCATTGTGCGTCACAGCTTTCAAGTGTACAGCCGCCACTAAATTAGGAGAAGCATGAAACAGCGGCACTTCCTGATTGGATAAACGAATTCTAGCAGTTAGTGCGCATCGTGGATAGTTTTAGCAAGATCAGCTGCAGTTGATATAAACGATTGCCTCAGTCGTGGTGGTCATCAATATTCGACCCAACGAGATAGCATTTGTGCATCACACTAAGCCATGTCGACAAGTTCTGCTATTGGCATTGACTTAGGCACAACTTTCTCTTGTGTCGGTGTTTTCCAAAACAACAGGGTGGAGATCATAGCCAATGATCAGGGCAACCGCACAACGCCGAGCTGTGTTGCTTTCACCGACAAAGGACGCCTCACCGGTGAAGCCGCAATAAACCAGGCTGCTCTGAATCCCGCCAATACAGTGTGTGGTGTAAAGCGTCTGATCGGGTGCCGTTTTGACGATGAGGCAGTGCAGAGTGATATGAAATACTGGCCCTTCAAAGTTACAAATTCGGAGGGGAAGCCAAAAATTGAAGTGCAGCACTGTGGTGAGACAAAGCATTTCGTCGCTGAGCAGATCTCGGCCATGGTGCTGTCGAAGATGAAGGATACGGCGGAGACGTACTTGGGCGAGAAGGTCACAGATGCAGTGATCACTGTGCCCGCGTACTTCAACAACAACCAACGAAATGCCACAATAGACGCAGCGAAAATAGCCGGTTTGAATGTACTGCGCCTCATCAACGAGCCAACAGCAGCTGCTATCGCTTACGGCATGGACATGAAAAGTGAAAGGCAACGCAATGTGCTCATCTTTGATTGGGGTGGTGGTACTTTCGACGTGTCCATCCTGTCCATAAATAATAGGGAATTTGATGTGAAGGCGGTTGGTGGTGATACGCACCTGGGAGGTGAGGACATCAATTCTCGACTGGTGGATCACTGTGTGGAGATGATCAAGCAAGCGCACGCGGGCAAGGACTTGACCACTAACAAGAAAGCTATCCACCGTCTGAGAAAGGCGTGTGAGAAGGCGAAGAGGATGTTGAGCTCAGCCGAGTCCACAACGATAGTAGTAGAATCGTTGTTTTATGAAATAGATTTCTGCAAGACCCTCACACGAGCCGAATTTGAGCAGTTGTGCATGGACCTCTTCAGTAAGACGATGGATGCTGTGAAGATGGCGTTGAGCGACGCGAAGATGGACAAAGCTGACATCCACGAGATATTGCTAGTAGGCGGATCGACGCGGATTCCGAAGGTGCAGAGCATGTTGCAGGATTTCTTCAATGGTAGGGACTTGCAAAGGTCCATCAACCCAGACGAGGCAGTGGCGTACGGTGCGACGTTGCTGGCTGCCAATCTGACTGGTGGTGCGTCGAATTCGATGCAGGATTTGATGTTGCTAGAAGTAACGCCACTGTCGTTGGGATGGGAGAATGCCTATGGTAAGATGCACACAGTGATAAAGCGAAACACGCGAATTCCGACGAAGCAGGCATGCAAAAGCCGCACACATGGCGATAATCAAACGTGTGTTCGCACCAAGATTTTTGAGGGTGAACGTGTGATGGCCAAAGACAACCACTTTTTGGGCGAGTTTTTGTTAGAGGGTTTCCCAGCAGCACCGCGTGGTGAGACTCAGTTTGTTTCTACCTTTGAAATTGACGAAAGCGGCATGCTCCATGTGTCGAAGGTGGAAAGGTCGACAAAGAAGCAGAACGGCATCACTATCTTCAACTACAAGGGTCGTCTATCGGAGGAGGAGATAGAGCAAATGCTGGCTGAAGCGGAGAAGTTCAAGCAGGAGGACGAT